TCTCCAGCTTTTCTAACTTGCAGAGAAAGCATCACAATGTAACATACAACACCTTTCAAATATATAGGGAAAAAATACATCAGAAATATAAATGCAACCGAAAAGTTATTAGCTAATCCCTGTTTCACTCTGTGGATGACGTAAAACTAAGCTCGGTCATGAAACCATTTGAACACCACAAATTTTAGTTGTATGTTTGTATTACAAAATAGATAATAATAACGGATAGCATGGGATGTACACAAAATGTATCAAAAATTAAAACTTCAAGTTCCACTAACCTGTCAACGAAACTAGTTGGTGTTGACATGATATAATCATACGTGTAACTGAAGTTATAAATAGGTATACAGCTGAGAAGAAACCAAGTAACTGAAGCATCGTTAGATATCAAATTTTCAGAATAGTAGAGTTCTCTTAGCTTCGGAACTGAAAACAAACAAATAAAGCCTTTACAGTACAATCATCACAGAAATCAACCCTTACCTATCTGAGACAAAAACAAATTTTTCGTTATAAGGATCTGTTAGTGCATGTCTAAGCAGTATGCGCTCAGCCTCAATCATAGTTGCTTCTCCCCAATCTACCTGAAATAGAACACATGAACTAAAATCTTATCATGTCAAGAAAAAAAAATTGATAGTTCACATTCTATCACCAGTTCTCCATAATCTAGTAGGCTACGAGTTAGATTGATTGCATAAGTGAAAATTTTCAGACAAAAGGCTCCACAATTTTTTCAGATGCATCCATAACAGAAACCAAAAAACACGGCATTATAACAACTCTATCCTCCCCTCGGACTATTATCCATTATGAAAAATTCTACCCTCGGATCTTCTGGCTAAGCTATCGTAGGTCTCAAGTGTAAAAGGTCAGATTCTTTGGCAATTGACCAACAACTACACAGATCAAGGACGGAAAACAAGTTGATAATTTCATATTGAACATCTTCCATTCACGGAAAAGATGCTTCGCACAAATTGACATTAAAGCAGCACCAGGAAGGCTGTTACTGGTTCGCGGCTTCAATTGCAACTTCTAGTATTTGAAAAGCAAATTTTATTTCATAATCTTCCTTACCATGTCAGTAAAACCTCAGCAAATAAAAATTCAACATGTAATTTACAGTAGCAATATCAGCATAAGCACCGGAATGAAGATAAAATATAACAAACACATTTATTTAGGAAATAGACACCAAAACAAAGCACGAATTGCATCTGACAGTAAAAAACAACTAGGAATTTCTTATTATAATAATTGAAAAGACTATAGTCTTTATAAACGGTAGACAAAAATAACCTGTATGCTATCACTAACTTGCCGGTTCAAAAAATAAGTAGATCTCGTTGTTCCTTTGTTTAACAAAAAGCCAGGCCTAGAATGAACATAAATTGAAAATTTGTTCTCTTCTCCCTGAAAAAATAATTAAAAAATAACAAAAACACCTGATGATTATGATGATCAATATCATAATTTAAAAAGGGGCATAATAATTTCGCTAATTTTCAAATATATAAAAATGGTTAGCAAGTAATTATGAAAAATGCAGCTAAAAAGAAAATACAACAAACTTTATCCATATATGCTAAAATTGGAAACATAGTCAATCACACTACAAAGCATCCATAGTAAGCAGGATTTTACTAAATTCATGAGTAATTATCTTGAAAATAAAAAGCATCAAAATTTTACTAAATTCATGAGTAATTAAGCATTCAATTGAAGTACATTTAAAAAAAATCCATATTAAGCAGTTTTTTACTAAATTCATGAGTAATTAAGCATTGAATTGAAGTACCTTGAAAAAAGCATCCCAAACCATATCGAGAGGAAGCCGATTCCTCGCAACGAAAAGGAAGGCAATCTTCGGCTTGACAGTGAAACGGTATCGTAAAGAAGCCAACGAGACGATCCGAGAGTAGTGCGTCTCCACTAACACTAAACTGGCTAGACAAAGCGACACTAACAACGCTGCCAAAACCTTCCTCTTCCATCTAATTTGCGATTTCTGCTGCACCGGTTTTCTCTTCATCGCACTCATTTCTTTCTTTAACTATTTACTTATGGTTTCTTTCACTTCGACAACAACACCGCCGCCGCCACCATTTTTTACTTACTTTTCTCCTGTTTTCATGCGTGAGCTTCAGAATCAGCTGGATTTTATTAAGAATTCGAAAGAGAAAGAAAAGGAATTAGTATTTTGCTTGTTTGGAGAGAAGGTGATAAAAATATGGTGAAAGTGAGTGGGGTTTTTTAAGAAAGAGTGTTGGCTTCGACCTCTGAGTCGTAAAGGGAAGACAGTTTTTTACTAAAGTTTGCGTGAGACGTAGGAGATCAGACAGATCCACTATCCAGTAGCTTTCAATTCATTTTCTTGCTCCTCCTTTTTCTGAAAAATAAAAACAATTCACTTAATATTATCAAGATATTCGATCTAATAATTGATTTAATCAAATTTTTTATTTATAATATTAAGATTTGAACATAACCTTAGTTGAAAAGATCCAACATTAAGGGTGCGTTTGGTTCACGAAATATAAGATTATCAATGGAAATGTAAGATTATAAGGGAATAAAATTATTGGGAATGTTGTATTTTGTGTTTGGTTGGCTTCACAGAAATGCAAGATTACCGTGTTTGGTTAAAGGAATAAAAGATTATTAAAATGTATATTTTATCAAATTGTCTTTATTATATATTTGTATAATATTACAAGTTGGAAAATATTTATATATTTTCTTTAAAAAAATTAAATTCATAATATTTATAAAATTTTTTTACAAAATTTAAAATATAAAAAAAGTTTAATGAAAGGGTAAAATTTTATTTTAACTCCTGAACTTCATATAAAATTTTAATTATAGATTTTTTTTTGTAAATCTAAAATAATTTAAAGATAAATTTGTAATTTAACATTCGTAGAATTTTTATTATTCAATGACAGAAGAAAAATATTTTTGAAAAAAAATAAAAATTTAAGGGCATTTTAGTTCAAAACGTCGGTAATCTAACAATACCTAAGGAGAGGAAGGTAATGACATTCCTGGTAATATACCCAAAAAATCCACTATTGGTAAACTTTCATTACCGATAATGAGATTCCCGACCTAACCAAACGGGGAATATGGATTTCATTCCCATAAAAATCACACATTCTCCCGTCCAAACACCCCTAAAATCTCATGTTCTCTTGCTCCAAAAAGAGTGAATTAAAATAAGTAAAATTTAATCTTATTTTATACACTCCAGACTTATTTGTTGAGTCCCCTTAATAAATAAAGCCAAAATGGGTTTATTAATCCTAAAGAAATGCAACTACCAAAAGTGGGGTATTGGCCAAGCAAATGTCTCCCCTACTAAAATCATTATAGATCAATGCCATAACAGTGATTTATCACCCTCCGTTTTGTCTCTTTGGACAATCATCTTATGCACTTCAAAAAAAATTAATTTTTTATTTTTTTTTTCAAAAAAAATCATAAACTTTTAATTTGAATTTCAATTCATTCAAATATTATACTTTATTTTTAATATATTTTATTTATAATAATAACTTTATTTATCATTTGCCTTGAAACATTTGTTAGCATATTGTGAAACTATGTTTATTTATTTATCAAATAAATAATTTAATTAATAAATCCTTCAACGTTCAACTCAACCATTATTGACACTCACATGCCACAGATGTAGCTTTGCAAGTTGGAAAGGATCGGTCAATTGCTATAAAGACACTTCCAAATAAATGTATAACGCATCGAACTTAACTCTTCAATTTAAAAATAAAAATAAAATAACGTTAACAGACACTCTAAAATGACCAAATCAAATGCTAGTTATTGGTTATTTATTGATACTGATTAATGTGGTATTCATGAAAAATATGGTCAACAAAATTTAAATTTATTGAAAGTAAATATTAAATATAAAAATAGTTTGAGTCAATCAAAGAATTCAAAGTCTTTTTTAAGGACAATTTTGTGTCAACTTAACATCTCCATGTGACATAAAATATCAAATTATACATTTACTTAAGGTAGAATTTACTATTATATTAGATATTATGACCGATTTGTTTGAATACTTGTGATTTAATGGATTTAGTGTTTTTTAGACTAAATTTCATACGATATAGTGCTTGTTTGAATACTTGTGGTTTAATGAGTTTTGTGATTTAATGGACGATTAAAAAGGATTACTCGTTAGATTAACAGGTATTGATATGACTTTAGGGCCAAATCTGAACTCTTTTCTAGTTGAGTACTCGTGAGTTATAGTGTTGAACTTTTTAGGTGACTAGTATGTAGTGATTGATAATATAAGTGATTAAAATTTAATAAATTGATAATGTAAGTGACTAAAACATAATATTTCTAAATTTGGAGCAAAAATATACAAATATAAAAGAGGAATGGTCAATCTGATGATTTACTCTCAGGGAAAAGATCATTATTTTTTTATAACTTATTATTAAAATTTTTTTTATAATGAGAATACAATTGCCTCTAAATTCTTAAATAATATACAATTTTTGTCAATTTAGACATAAATATTTCTAAAAAAAAGTTCTTTTAATATAGATTATTTTTCAATTCTTATTTTTTTGTTCTTTACTCAAAATCATAAATATAATAATAATAATATACAACGAGTTTGATTTAATAAAATATTAATAAATTTGAGTAATTAAAATTATTTTATATTTTTAATATTTAATATATTAATCATTTATAATTTTATAAGATAAAAAATAATATTATTTTTTATAATAAAGTTAATAAAATTTAATTATAAATTATTTTAGATAAGATTCTTATAGTAATATTATATTTCAATAATATTATATTATGTGAATTAAACAAACCTAAAAGAACAGAACCTTCCACAATTTTAGGCCCATGCAAGAGTTGGGCCCAAGTTTCCTTTCGCCTAAAGTATTCATATGTGATGCGATGTTGTTAGCTCCTTCCTTCTCATATCGAACGTGTCCACTCAAGTGTCGAGAGTTTGGCTTCAACAATGTCGATAGAATCATTATTTATCCCTCAAACTCACTTTCCAGAGGTAAAAATATATATGCAATTTGAATTCTAATTTCGTCAAGAATTATGTACCCAATTGTTTTTTCCGATTAAGTCCTTTAAGTTACAGTTCTTCTGTTCACGAGACTGCAAGGAAATCTACATGGGCATTAATCAAATCCCCAAAATTTCAAAGGGTCCCTTCACGAATCAGAAATTTATCAGCAAAGTCAAGTTTGAGCTTCGAAAATGGTGGCTTCAAACAGTTATCAAATGGGGTTTGTGAAAAAGATGGAGTTATCATCGTGGACCATGGTTCGCGCCGTAAAGAATCTAATCTCATGCTAAGTAAGCTTTAAACAAACTAATTTTTTTGGCTAAAACTGTTTAATTGTTTAAAAATTGAGCTAATCATGTTTTTTTAACGAGTTTCAGATGAATTTGTAGCCATGTTTAGAGAGAAAACCGGGTACCCAATTGTTGAACCAGCTCATATGGTAGTTCTTTTTTCTTCTTACTTCTTATTATCCAATTCTTTTGCTTCAGTTAAAATTGAGTTGCTTCTTCTTCTTCTTTTAAACAAAGCAATTTGATGACGAAGGGTTTTGCTTTGAAGTTGTCTGTTTTATTTGGTTCACTGCATTGTGTTTTTTTTAGGTAAATGTCAATGTTTTCACTTGTTTTGGAGACGCAATGGTATTGTATTTTCGGGCACTGAATTCTTACATTTTTAGTTAATTTAACTAGGAATTGGCTGAGCCATCGATAAGAGATGCATTCGGTTTGTGTGTTGAACAAGGGGCAGATCGAGTGATCGTTAGCCCATTTTTTCTTTTCCCTGGAAGGCATTGGTACCAGGTAGCTCATGTTATTAGCATTTGATGACTCGAAAAAGAAATAATATGTTTATGGAATTTTCGGGGAATTCTGTTTTTGCTGAATGTCACTATGTTATTTCTCAGGATATCCCATCGTTAACTGCTGATGCTGCAAAGGATTACCCTGGTGTATCGTATATGATAACTGCACCACTCGGCCTACACGAGCTGCTTGTGGTATGAACTCTCTTGTTCTCCTCATTGTTCACTGTCAATGCCATATAAGTTTTGTGTGGTTTTCTCCTGCTAAGTTTTCAAATGGTCCACAATTTGATGGTTAGCTCGAGTAATATGGTTTTGAAACAAAGGAGCCTGTAAGTCATCATCAAGTACATGATTGTTGGGAAGCTTTCTTTGTTATTATAATAATCACGCCACTTGGCTTGCATGAGCTGTTTGTGGAGCTCTCTTGTTTTCATTGTTTGTCACCATTACGTATGAGTTTTCTGTAGTTTTCTCCTGTTGCTTTTTGAAACGGTCCTCAATTTGATATGTACCTTGAGTGATATGATTGTCAAACAAAGGAGCCTGTAAGTCACTGTCCAGTACATAATTTTTGTGAAACTTTCCTTGTTATTGCGCAAACATGTATCGAATGCAATAATTGCCCTATTGGTCGCAGTCTAGTTCTCGCCGATAAGCGCTGGGAGTAAACTACCAAGCCTTGCCTTATATAATAGTTGTGGCATTGATTTCGTACAAATTTTGTGTAATTTTCTCCCGCTATGTTTCCTAATGGTCCTTGTTTTGATAGTTAGCTTGACTGATATTTTTTCAAAACAAAGAAGCCTGTGAGTCTTTGTTAACTACATGATTGTTATGGAACTCTCTTTATTATTGCTCAAACATGTATCAAATATAATAAAATCCCATGACCTGCACAAGCTGCTTATGGTATGAACTATCTTGATTTACTCTTTGGTCTCCATCATTTTTTCGCATGAATTTTGTGTATTTTTTTTGTGCTAGATCATCCATGATCTGTCGTTTCTAATTAGCTTACATAATTGAAGTTTGAAAGAGGAGTCTGTCAGTGTTAAGAAGTACATAATTATTACGAAAGTTGCTTTCGTTTTTGCTCAAACATCAATAAGTGGATTGAACTCTCTATGTATGTCTTGTTTTCGGATTTTTAATCACAATGTTGTAGATGGTTTCTCTTTCTTTCAAGTTGACTTTACCTGACTGTCGGATGTCTTCTCTTTTGTTTTCATATATTGCAGAACGTCATGAATGATAGGATCAAACACTGCTTGAGCCATGTAGCTGGAGATGCCGACGAGTGTGCGGCTTGTGCGGGAACAAGCAAATGCAAGCTCTATGGACTCATGGATGTGATTAGAACTTAAGCTTTTGAGATTGAATATAGGGATCCAAGGTCTCCAATTTTATGGAAGTTGAGATCGTTGCATATCAAATAACCCAACAGTTCATGCAATTGCTGCATATATACTAGTTTTCACTTTCTTGTCTTTAGGATGTTCTGTCTGTGACTTGCCAATATGCCTTCCTCCATGTATTAGACAAAACATGATTTGTAAAATCTTATGTAATACATATTTGAGATTCACTTTTGGAATAAAGCTTCAATATTTTTTGTTCTTTTACTTGAGGATAATTATACATATAATCATTTAACTATTATTTTGGTCACCGAACTTTTAAAACTTATATTACAATTACTAAAATTTTAATTCATTTTCACTATGATCATTGTCATTAACTGCAGTTAGAAAATGCTGACAATGAGTCTTCTTTCTAAAATATCTTAATTTTTTAAATTTGCAGTCGTTGCCAAAGTTGAGTTTCCAATGAACGATGTGATCTTTGGTCAATACCAATTGTGGGGAGGCTCCATTTAACCGTAGGACTAATATAGTCCAAGTTCATGTTGATCTGGTGATTATCTATGGTAAATCGAAAGTCTTAATTTTTGGTTTCTATATAGGCCACCATCTCCTTTCATCATCATTTCTTTTGTCATTAAGTGGTTTATCTGATCGAAAAGATCATCAAACTATCCCTTCTTTTCTTATTCTTTAGTTTAAATTCGTTAAAAAATCTTTCGATCTCCTCAAATCTTAGTTGAAATTAAAAGTTAAAATTTTTTGATCTACTACTCTCAACTATCAGATTAGCTTAAAGCCAAACTATGTTAATCTTTTGATGAAACAAATCATTCCCATCGTTACTCTTCTTATTTTTCTCTTTCTTCATTTGATTCAAATAAGTAGAAAAACCTCTTAATATCTTCCAATTTAATTGAAATTAAAAATTAATTTTTTTTCTATTTGTCATTGTCCTTCATTTTTTTAAAGTAGAAGTATGATTGATATCGAGGAATCATACAAATATATACGCACGGTCATGAATCTCATTAAAAAAACTATTCGGAGGAAAAAAAGTATTCATGACAATGCCAGTCGAATACATTTAGTACTTACGCATAGAGAGGACCCCATACACTACTCTCACACCCCGACGGTCGATTGCTCAAACACGGATACTATGGTCATACAATACAGCATACCTGATCAAATTACAGGCTTACCAAACCATGAAGATCGAGAGCCCCATGTAAATGCTACAAACAACCTCCCGCCTAACCAATTTTCCTCGAAGACCAATGCACCATACTAACCAATTACACAAACAAATACAACAGAACCTGCTCAAAGCAACTAACTCCACCAAAGTATTACCATCTAAATCAATATCTATTCTATTCCATCTACGACCATGTCCCACCTACCACCTGCTCAAAACAAATTAATTCCTCAACCAAAGTTAGCACCTTAACTAAACATACAACCATTTCATCCAAGCATGTAATCATCTCGATCAAAGATGAGCAACAACGAATCAAATAAACCAAACCTACTTAAACCAGCTAACCACTAACAGACATTACGCAATTACATTTGTGGGCATCTGTGTTTCCTTCTCTGTAAGTGAAGCATACCTTCCAAGATGAACTTTGACAAAATTCTTTACATTTGCAAACTTCATCGCAAAATGGCAATGGGGAGACCTGGGATTTTCAATCCAACTAACAACCATGGTACAGTCAGATTCAATCAATAATTTATGGGTAGAGAACCACCTGGACGATGAAAACACAGTGCATGCTTCCAAAACTGCTTTTAACTCTGCCCTTACAGACTCAGCCCTCCCTATTGGTTTAGAGAAACGTATGAAGCAATCACCACTATGATCACGTTAAATGCCTCCAATTCCTGCAAACCCACTTACTCTATTTACAGCGGCAGCCACATTGAATTTAAGCAGCCCACACGAAGGAGCCGCCCAAGAACCAACACGGGGTCTACATTTGTGAAACGGTGTAATAACCGCGGCTGAAGGGCATCTAACGAAATCACTGATTGAAGCGAAAGAGTCCGGCCACTTATGCTTACACCATGATCCGATTCTAAAGAACGAAAGATCACAATTCCGAGACACGCCGCAATGCTTGCCGTTAAACACTACCTCATTTCTGACTAACCATATGGTCCATACAATTCCGAAAAATACCATCAGTCACTATCGTTGGATCACCTTAAAATCAAACTATGTTGATCGTTTAGTCAAACAAATATTTTCCACCGTTTGGATTGACTAAAAACTGCTTCGTTCATAAAAAAAATTGACTATGACGACGACTACAAATTTTTAACTTCCAAGTTTTTTTAGGAGGAAAATTTTAATGTGCTACGTTAGTATTATCATAACAATGGCAATAATGAAAGTAAATTAACAATTTAATGACTGTAATACAAAATTTAAAAATTTGTTAAACAAATTGAAAGCATCTTACAGTTTAGTGAGCATCAGAGTTATTTTTCTTTAACAAAAATAATTTATCATCTATTTAATAAATATTTATTAAAATAACAAAGTCACATCAACACTTAGTCACGTATAAATACGGTATTCAATCCACTTAAATATGTTAAAAATATTATTATATCAGTATATTAGAAATTCGTTTTAATTTTAACAATAAAATGACTTGTTTATAATAATATTTTAATTGAATGACGAGTATAACTTAAAAAAAAAACTTATATGTTATTAAACTCATAATTGAGTGACCTCCTATGTAGTTTACCCTTTAGATATAAGCATGTTAAGAAAGTCGGTTTCTTTTGTCTTTTTATCGTACGTCATTCTCTTTATAACAGGGAAAATGCATTAGGAGTTGTATACTATTTTCCATTCCAACTCTCATAATCTTTTTTTAAAAAATATATAATTTAACCATTTTTAATGGCATCGAAATTTTCAACCAATCATCATTTATTCGTATGCACTAAAAAATGTTAATTAACTAGGGGTATATTATATTAATTTAGTTAATTTACAAGCAACAATAATATTCTCGTTTTTAATTGGATTGAAAATTAAAAATAATATATGAAACAATTATTGGTTGAAAAGGTAACTTATTGGTAAAAATAAAATAAAAATCAGAAATTCAGTATTATTTATCAACAATTACAAGAGAATCAATTGTCATGGTTTTCGCGGTGTAGTGGGGATGTGGTTTTGGAGTTTGGCACCATCTCTTAAATTTATCCATTTTGGTTTCTTCTGTTCTTTTCTTTAACACGGAGGACTCGCGGTTTTAGGCATATGATCCATCACCATGTAACAATGGATTCACATGTATACGAGAATATATATGTGTATATTTTAAAATTTAATTTATATTTATTTTATTTAAAATTTATAATATTAATATCCATTTTCCCAACAAAGCCCGATTAGTTATATTTAAATCCAAAACCCCTAATCCTCCATATTCAATTGGGCGACAAACTGTTTGCCAATTCACCCAATGTATACGAATTTTCTCTGACCCATCACCCCACAGGAATCTAGCCATCAAGGAATTCAGTTTCTGACTAACTTTGCTCGACAACTTAAAAATAGATAGGAAAAAATCAGAAGAGAAGACAATACCGACTTCAGGAGAACCAATCTGCCAGCTAAGGAAAGTGAATTAGCTTTCCAACCTGCCAATTTTTTGTGGAACCTTTGGATAATAGGATCCCACAGTATAATAGAGTTTTTCTTTGCTCCAAGAGATATCCCTAAATAATCCGTAGAGAAAGAACCCACTGAACAACCTATGGATGAAGCCCACTCTTTCAACACATCTTCTTCCATATTGATTCCAAACAGATGACTTTTCGAAAGATTTAAATTAAGACCAGCCATCAAGCTGAAAATTCTCAAGATTCTTTTCACATTTCTTATTTGTCAGAGGGAAACGCGACAGAAGATGATAAGATCGTCTGCGAGCTGAAGATGTGACAACTAGCAAGGATTTTTTGTCCCTCCAATAGAGAAGCCATAAAATAGGTCTATATCCACAGCTTTAGCCAACATCAAATGAAGTAACTCACCAACTAAATTGAACAGCAATGGTGATAAACTACACCCTTGTCGTAATCCTTTTGACAACGGAATCTCCTTTGTGGGGGAACCATTAAAAAGAACAGAAATAGACGTAGAAGTTAAACAAGACGAAATCCACGAACACCATCTCTCACTAAACCCCATCTCATTCATGATTCTCAACAGAACAAGTCATTCAACTGTGTCGTATGCTCTGCGGAAGTCAGCTTTAAAAACAACACCCTTGAGACCTTTTTTCCTCTAATAATCAATACATTCATTAGCAATAAAGGCACAATCCAACAACTGTCTACCAGGGATAAAAGCAAAGTGAGAAGAACTTACAACATCATTGACACAAGATATGAGTCTCTTGGACAATACGTTAGACATAATTTTGTATAGACTTCCAACGAGACTGATCGGTCTATAATCCTCCAAACACTCTGGGTTTAACTTCTTCGGAATTAGGATAATGAAGGCATGATTTACTCCATGATCCCACTTTTTCTTTTGATAGAAATCGTTAAAGAATCTCATGACCGGCTCTTTAAGACTAGGCCAACACTTCTTGTAGAAATCCATAGTTAACCCATCAGGACCAGGCGCCTTATTGCTGTCTGAACTCGAGATTGCATCCCATACTTCCTGTTCCGAAAACAACACCTCAAGTCTATCCCTTTGCTCATTTGATAATTTTGAGAAACCAAGATTCATATCCTCCACTTCTAATGTTGCTTTACTATTGTAAGACTGAAAAAAAAAATATGATACATGATTCATTATTTGAACTGGATCCAAAGTTTCCTTACCATCAATTTTCAAGGAACAAATGTTGTTAAATTTTTTCCTGCTCGAAGCACAAAGGTGAAAAAACCTCGTATTCTTATCGTCGTCTTTAATCCACCTCGATCTTGACTTCTGGAACCATATGCTCTCTTCAATCCTGTGCAAGCTCAAAAGGTCCTTTCTGAATTGTGTCAGATCAGTCAATTCCTGAAGCGATAAATTGCCACTCTGAAATTTTAATTCCATATTAAGAATTTTAGCTTCCAACTCTGAAATGGACTCTGAAATCCCTGTGTGCATACTCCCAGTCCATCTTTTAATCGCCTTTTTTGTTCCTTGTAAAATGCTGACGATGCCCCTTCGATTGTTCTCCTTAAGATTTGAAATTGCAGAACTGACCATGTTTTCAAACCCTTCTTCCTCTAATAAGTAGTTAAAATTTTGTCATTTTCCTTGGTCAAATATATCTCCTAAAACTATGTGCATAGTCATTATGAGACACAAATTATGGGACAGAGGGAGTACAATGTTGTGTAGTCAAGTTTCAGAAATTATCAATCCTATACATCCTTATGCACAAGAATATATAAATGCATGCATTAACTTGGTTAAGCATGCATGCATGCCTGTATTGCACTTGTACCGAAAATAATACAAATAAAATTCCCCATAGCTTCTACCAAAAAAGAATGTTCCTCGCAGCTTTCAATGTATCATCGCTAGTAACAATATTAAAGAAACCATGTGAAGGAACAACTTTTTCATGTATCAAATGTTCCCAAAAAGAAAAGGAATTCAAGAAAGCTAGACCCAATCAATTAAGACAATGTTTATAAAATGTCTGATTGTACCTTTCAAAGCTTGCACAAATGCCTTCAAACCAGTCGACAAAAAGATCCTTATTGATGTGAGTGTAGTAATTACGAATGATATAACAAAATGCCACATTCCTATAGTAACACCCATGCAAACTCAACTAAATGATTACGCAGAAAACAGAATAAGAGGAACTTGTAGCATTATTGAGAAATATAAGCATAAGTTAGCAATTCATAGAGATTGAGCAAAAACACTGGCCATATCAAGAATAATTTTACAACAATGCCAGACAGTTTTTTAAGTACAATGATAAAGTAGTATCAAGGTGTCACTTGAGGTATATGCAACAAGAACAATTTGAAGTCTAAAAAGTAAAAGAACCAAAGAATTATAAATAGGTTGCCAGATTTGCAACAACATAACCTTTTTTAACGTAAAATTAGAAACCAAAATACCGTATGAAAAGGGACTAAAAGGTAGAATTGTAAATGAACAGTGTTCGATAAATAATTCCTGAATAGTGTGTTTCTATTCATTTATGTTTGTTTATCAAGCTAAATTAACAAAGATAAACAAGATATTGAGACTCATTCATTGAACAAACCAAACACAAAGCATTTTCAGTTATATGTTCACAACAAGCTCGTTTATGAATAGTTCAAATCACATTTAATAAATCATTTAAAGCTCATTCAAAACTTGTTTATTGTTCATTTATTGTATTACTAGTGTTATTATTTTTTGTTTTATTTATAATATATAATTACTAGTATTTATGTTTGAATATATTATACCTAAAAATAATAAATGCATTCATTTTTTGTTTGTTTATTTAAATTTGTTTATGTATAGTTCATGAACAAATTTTAATTGTTCGTGAACATGTTCATTTAATTCAAACAAATGAAAATGAACACACCTAAATTAAATGAACGAGCACAAATAAGCTTAAAAATAAACAAACGGATATGAACAAAAGTTTCTTCATTCAAGCTCTGTTCATTTATAGCCCTGCTAAAAGGAAATGGTATAGAATGAAACAAGAGTAGTCAAACAAGATCAGAAAGGCTTCACTAGGATAACATGTGATATATTAAAAATTATTTTATAATGGGAAATCGAACATGGAAATTAACGAAGGAAAAGTAATCAAAAAGCAAATCAGCCCAGAATATGTAGTATAAAAGTACTTTTTTCCAGGTTAAACATGCCATAACCATTTTCCTTTCACAAGTGCCTCTTTTAGATGGGCAGCTGTACTCTCTCTTTTAAACCTTTTTTCATTTGATGTTGCTCCGCTTGTATGTGTGCATGACTGTCATGTTACATTAAGAATGACTAAGCTGTTAAAATTTAAAGAATTCAAGCAGTAAAACTGGCAATTTCAACAAATAATTAGTTGAATTTATATCAACACCCAAACTGAAAAAAATAATGCAAGATTAAACACAAATATGCAGCAAATTGAAATTATTATGTAGGTTCAAATCGAAAAAGAAATACCTAAACATAAATACTTTTGAGAGTATAGCATAGCATCAGTTCTAGTAAAAAAATAGCTATTAGTTATAGGCATGAGAACAGAATACCTTATACAATACAAGTGCAGCAAGCTCCACAAGACCATACATCAAATAACAAGAAACAGGTAGTAAAACAAAAGGGAGCAGGGGGCAGAATAGGAATAGGATAAAGATTAAAACACTCACCAAGAAGTATTAGGAATTGATGAATTGCTTAGATCTAGTTCCCTACATATGACATCCAAGAGTTGATCAACCAATAAACTCCCATCAGTTACACCTCTAACTAAATTCAGCTGTAACCTAGCATAAAGAACAAGTGCATCCTACAGAATAAAAAAATACATAAGATACAACCCATAAATTCAAGTTTAGTTTAGAATTTGGAATAAGTGTTAACCTTAAGACCCTTATCACGTGTTGTCAGCCAACAACGAGAAACAACTGGTTGTATAGCGTTATGGATCTCTAAGGACTGACAACTTAAATTTGGACCATCCTTTAACAAGTACGTATTAATACACTCAATTAATTTGTAAGAAACTTTTTCTTCATCCCTGAACATGTGCAGCAAAGGAAAACAGTAATCAGATCACTTTCAGCAATCTCTATAGACAATGATTAAAATCAGCAGATGAAGGCAAAATAAAAATGAAAGCATGCCGATTTCAACAACCATATACCTTATATTAGAAAATATCTTAACAAACCCCTTCACGATATCCTCCCTAAGGTTATCTGTGAAATCTCCAGGAGGATTTTCTAGAAGAGAATGAAGGGTTAGGAGGATGTTATTTTTCTCTGTCAATGTTGTCACCACCTTTTCCATGTAGAAAACCATAAGACCTGGCCAAAATATATTAAAATAAACTTGAGAAGACTAATCAGTTCCAAACAAGGATTGTCAACAAAAAAACAGGAAAAGATATGTGCTTCTAATATAAACAATATTAAACTCACCAGAGTAAATTTTCTTCCTCATATGAAATCGGTAGTCTTTGACCAGCAAAAGATGTCGTAATATACTCCCATATTCAGACTGAAAACTTGGAATATTGTTTATCAAATCCAGTATGTGACTAAAAGTGTCTTAACCACAGACAACAACGGAAACATATTTCCTGAAAGTAAAATGGTGTGATATATCAATATATGCTCCAAGCATAGGTGAAAGCACAAAATGCAGGGAACCAGCACAAACCTTTTAGCTGGTCTATCAATGTGGACTTTTAAAAGTAAGATGTAGCATGGCCTTTAATAGATTAAGTCTTAGGTTAGGACTAACTTTCGACTTTGTTTGCAGTGGCCACCAGATATTTGCAAGGTAGTTTTACAATTTTCTATTTTCGGTTGAAATCACCAATTGGCTGGCATTAACAAGAAGGATTTTACTTGCCAAGAAATTCCCTAGATTCTATTAACCTGACTGAAAACCGCAACCCTTGAGGTAAGATAAAGGAATCCAAGACTACCCAGCTGTTGACAACACAAAGACGCAACTAAATATTTTTATCCTGTATAAATCATAAGGAACCAAATCAATCAGATGCTAACCTGGAAGCTTAGTATCTTCAGCTCGTTGAATGACAATTCTAAGAGTTTTTGCAAATATTAACTTAGATGTTCGTCGCTTGCTTGCTGATATCTCCAATGATACACACTGTGTAAGCAACTTAACAAGAAATAGCTACGTTTCAGCTGTAAATAACAATATAACCAATGTCAATTACATTTGAACTATGTTTTCATAAAACACCTAAAGAAAACATGCCAAAAATACAAGCAGACATGTATCTTACACCGTGGAATCTCATTTGGTTTAAGCTTTGCAGTATTCTGTCCAATAACTTTACAAAATCCGATTGATCTTTCTCCCTCTAGCCAAATACTCAACAACTTTACTCCTTCCTGAAAATGCCAACAAAATTAAAAAAAACGAAAAGAAATTCAGTTAGTTATAGAGTAAGCACATATACTACAATATACGCACATTTTCAAAACGATCCAAATGTTTCTATTTTTTTCAAGTATAAAATCAAAAATAAAAGAACGCATAATTCGTTTGATGGTCCCTTACGAAATATGATGAAAATAGCTTTTAGTTCCCAATAAATTGTGAGAAAGTAATTAAAAAAAATCCTTAAGGTAATGCCATGAGTCGTTAAACCAAGAAAACCTTAAAATCGTAATTTATTTTCTTCTTCTTCTCTTTCTTTTCGATGCACGAAAATAGGAACTTCGAAAATCAACAGTACTTCCATCGGTCATCAAAACCGGAGCGAAGGAGAAAAAAATAAGAAAGGAAAAAAAACAAATTTCAGGTCCGATTATACTGAGAAGAAAACATATAGTAAAAGGGTTTTTCTTCGCGGTCTTTGGTTTTATCCGAGGAGAGCTAGGATACGATCTCTTGAACATCACCGGAAGTAACCATGGCCGCCATTGGGAAGGGAATTCACAGCAAAAGAATATACTACATTAACAGAATGGAGGGAATCAGCCAATAGTGTTTGGGTAATGGGAAGAGTTGAAAAGTGTTGTTTTATTTGTAGGGTAAGTATAGTAATGGTCACTGAATATTTTTGAAGCTTGCATTTAGGTCCCTCAAATTTTAAAACTTGCAATACAGTCCCCCAATATTTATTCCGTTTATAATATGGTCCCCCAACTTAAACCACCGTTAGAAATTAGGATAAATTATATAAAAGGTTATTAAACTTTTCAGACACTTGAATTTAGGTCCCCCAACTTTTAAAACTTGCAAAACAGTCCTCAATTTCATTCTAAACCCCAATTTCCAAAGTAATTCAATTTCATTCTAAACCCTAAATTCCAAAATAATTCAATTAAATTCAATTATGTCAGATTTATTATTATTTAATTTCATCTTATTTCATGTGATACGTATTTTTTATATAAATATAATAGTATAATTCTTATCTGTTGAAGAAATTTTTTAATTAAAAAAAGTAGTTAGGATATAGAAGAGGTTGAAAATAATTTGAATTTTAAATTTATAAAATGTTATTTTGACGTATAAATAAAAGTGTAAACTACTAGGTTGACAACTTAACTATCTAGCCCTTTTTACTTTTGTCATCGATCTTTTAAATTTATCAATCATACAACATAATTATTTAACTGTTACAACTAAGCCACTAGTCGTTACCAATTGATACAAATGATGAATTGGCAGTTAAAAGGAATTGACATTATTATACATTCAGTCTTTATTATTTATATAATCAATTTGGTCCTAAATTAAATAGAATTTAATAAATTAATCATTTAATTAGGATCTGACATGTGTTAGCACATGATCATGACACGTGTCATTGGTGACACATGTCACCACCTAATTATTTATATATGCTATCAATTTGGTCCTAAATTAAATAAAATTTAATAAATTAATCATTTAACCAGGATCTGACATGTGTTAACACATGATCATGATATATGTTATTGGTGACACATGTCACCACCTAATTAGAAGAAAATTAAGTTACAAAGAAGTAAAATTTGGGTCTTGGGCAAACTCAAACCTGAGTCACGCAAATGAAAGATACAAGGTGGAGCCACTAAGCTAACACCATCGTTTGTGTTAAGAGATATACAATAATACATATACTAATAGTATGACCAATGCCAGAAAAAAAAGAATATAATGGAAAATGAAAATAATGAGATTTGAACTTCGGCAAAAAATTTGAAAGCAATAAATGATGGGAAAATATTATATTTTTTTACAATAAAAATATTATATTTGATAAATTGTTTGATAGATTTAATATATTTTTTAAATATTAGTTGATACAATATTTTAAAAGAATAAATTTAAGATTTATATATTTTTTAAACTAAATTTAATAATTATATTTTTCATATTTATAATTCATGATTATATATATAATCTTAAGTTGAGTATTTCTAATATAATTAATAATTTTAATTTCTTATTAAAAATAAAATATTCAAAAAATATAAATGATTCATACATTAATATATGAATATATATTTTTATTTATACATCTAAATATAAATATACATTTATATAAATATATTTTTATTCGTATATTGAAATATTTTGATTAAAATATAAACATATTTTAAATACTAGTTTATACAATAAAAATAAAAATATATCAAAAATATAAATGATTCATACATTTAAATATAAATTGAATCATTTATATTTTCTATATATCTATATTTAATAAGAAAATAAAATTATTGGGGGATTGTTTTGCAAGTTTTAAAAGTTGGGGACCTAAATTCAAGTGCCTGAAAAGTTCAATGACCGTTTATATAATTTACCCTAATTTTCTAACAGTGATTTAAGTTGGGGACCATATTACAAACGGAATAAATATTTGGGGACTGTATTGCAAGTTTTAAAAATTGAAGAACCTAAATGCAAGCTTTTTAAATGTTCAGTGACCATTACTATACTTTACCCTACAATTAATGGGTAAATACTAAAAAAATTAAATGAGACTGATACTTGTAATCGTTTTTCATACATGCTATAAAGCATCGATACTCTTACCCTATGTCTAGATACCTAGACTTCATGGTGAGTAAAATATGGTGCAGTGGTGCAGACATTATCCATACATGGATTGGATTATTTGCGATAGAAGTTCTTGATTCGTTGACTAGTATCTAAAATGATCCATAGTACTGCATTTTGCTTGAATCTATCTCTGCCTCCGTAATGAAAGTGTTAAAATAAGATACAAAGTTTGAAATAGAGTGCAAATTTGATCGAGTCAAATTGAATAAAAAAAATTCAATTAGTCGAGTTGATAAATTTATTTTATAACTTAAATTTTATTTGAATTTTTTCCGACTCGAATTTATGAAATTCTATTCAAAGTGGGTCAAGTTGAGTTATTCGAGTTTATGTTTAAATATAATTATAAATATTTATATTGTTATCCTACTAATTGATTCTAAATTAAACAACTTTCTATTATATATATATATATATATTGCTTAATATAAAAAAAAATATGAACTATATCTTTTTTCTTGTTTAGGTACCTGAACTTTTTTCCGATCAATAGGAATCTAACATTACCCAAAATGTTAAATTAAAAAATAACTAAAATAATTAATAATATCATTAACAATAAAGCATCACCAACAAAATTTAAATTATTAAAAGCTGGATCAAGAGCAAGGAACAGCTATGGCAATAGAACAAATTACTCAAATAACAGTTCCATATTTCCAATCTCCTTTATCCCATGCATAACTTTAGGTTTGGCCCTTAAGAACAATGCATTGCCACTAGATGTGCACATTTGTCGGATTTCAATCCGATCCGGATCGGTTTTTATCCGATCTGGTTTTTTCCCATAGAAAAAAAACCAGTTTATAAAATAACCGGTTCGGTTTCTAACCGGTTTGGAGGGCCGAATATCCTAACCGGTGTAACCGGTTTCGGTTTTAAAAAAACCGGTTTTTTTAAAAAACCGGTTATAAAAAAACCGATTTTAATATTCCAGATTGCTCATAGGGAACCGATTCCCCCCCAAGGGGGTACCGATTCCTCACTGAATGGTTTGGCTCCGAGATTTCCAGAATACTCGGAGGGAACCGATTCCCCCATAGGGGTACCGATTCCCCCTATTCAACGGTCGAAATATTTGAATTTTACACTTAGGGAACCGATTCCCTATGAGAGGAAACCGATTCCCTATGAGAGGGTACCGATTCCCCCACGCTCGAAGCATTTTTATTAAATGTTTTCACACTTAAACGGCTATATTATCTTCATTAATTATCACTAACGTTCAGAAGTGATTCAAGGTGTATTTAAGCAAGCTTAGAAGCCATTGATCAAAGATAAGAAACATCAAACAACTAGAATCAAGAGAGAATCAAAGAGAAAGCATCAAACCTCAAGTTCGATAAATTCAAATACTTAATTGAAATACTTAATTAACTCAACATAATTGAAATACTTAAATACTTCCAAGTTTGATAAATTCAAATACTTAAAAACTTCCAAGTTCGATAAATTCAAATACTTAAAAACTTCAAGTTCGATAATTGAAACAAAATTTACGATAATTGAAATAAAGTTATAAAATAAACTACATTGCCATCTCTTCTTCATCATCTTCGCCTTCTTCGTTTGGAGGGGATATTCCAAGTTCGACTTCTTCAATGTGTAAGTTTGCTTCCAAATCGGCATCAATTGCATCTTCTAGGGTGGTGATATATTGCTTACGAGCCGCTCCATCCAAATAATCCTTTAAACAAATGCATACTTCCACCGACTCGGGACTTAGTCTTGATCTTCGTTGCGATATAACCCTGCCACTAACAGAAAAAACGGATTCCGAAGCTACCGTAGAAGCTTGGACGGTTAGTAAATCACGGGCCATGACGGCTAGAATCGGAAATTGTACTTCCTTTTCTTTCCACCAAGCCAAAATATCCAAACTTTCAAACTCTTCAAATGTCATTTTTGATAGAAAATCGCATGACATGTAATTTCCCAACTCGCTACTTGGGGTGGTAGTACGTGATCGTTTGGATTGAGAATTTACAAGAGTGTTAAAAAGATTCAAATTTATGTTACTTGGACGTCTACTAGATGATTCCGCATTCATTCTCATTTGATCGTGTATTACACTACTTGATCCGTATTTAGTTAAATAAATTGCAAACATGTCTCGAAAACATTTGTTAAAATAATTTATTTGGTTTTGGACATAGTTGGGTTCATCATCGGTTAGATTAAAAGCAAACGCAATTTGTTCAATTAGTGTTTCAACCCCACCAACATTTAACGTTGGGTTTAAAGCGGCGGCACAAGCAAAAATGGGAGGAATCTCCTTAAAATATTTTAAAAGTTTTTCCTTCATTGCAAAGCCAATTTCTTGAAAAACTTCGGTTTCAAATTCAAAGTCATTTAGTCGGGTAGCCAACAAAAATATTTGATTAAGAACCAACGGGCTAGTAGGGTAATAAACACCGGATAAACAAGTTGTTGCATTTTTAAAAACCTCAAGCAAATCGGTTATTTTGGCTATAGTTTCCCAACTCGAATCCGGATAAATGTTTGGGACATGACCCCTCTCGAAAAGCCGATCGTGAAATGTTTGCAATGTTTCCCTTTGCCTTAAGGCAGTATGCATCATCATCCAAGTTGAGTTTCAACGAGTTGGACAATCCAAATTAGGACCCAAAGCTTTTTTATTAACGGACTTACAAAATCGTTTATAATCATTTAGTCTTTTGTTGTTGTTACAAAGAACCGATTTTATCATTGTTTTAAATTCTAATCTAATCGGCTCAATAACCTCCAAACCGGCTTGCACGGATAAATTAATTATGTGTGCAACGCAACGGGTATGAAAAAACGCACCGTCTAAAATCGGTGAAAGTAATATTTTCAATCTTGGAACCGCATTTGTATTATTCGATGCATTATCAAAGGATATAGAAAAAACTTTATTTTCTAATTTATAAAGACAAATTACCCTTTTTAAAAGTGTAAATAAATTAGCACCGGTATGCGACTCACCGAATAATTCAAACGCGATTGTTCTTTTCATCATTTGCCAATTATCTTGATCTAACTAATGTGACGTAACGGCTAAAAAAGAATTTCCGGTATTATGAGGGAAACTCCAAACGTCACATGTAAGCGACACACCATAACGGTGTTCTTGGAATCCTAAAATCATTTTTTCCCTCGCCGTACGCCACATTTTTATAACATCTCTTCTAAGGGTAGTACGACTTACTTGAGTATAACGTGGTTGCATTAGTTGTTGAATTGTTGTCGTGAAATCTTCATCATCAAAGTGGTCGAACGACAATGCTTTTGTAATCACGAACTTTGTAAACACTTCTCGTAATTTTTCGTTGTCGTAAACAAAAACACCACCTTGCGGTGTAAGATTCGATTGACTAGGATCCGATCTTGAGCGAAGTGCCTTGCATGATTTTGTCAAATGATTCTTCAACGTTGTGTTTCCTTCCAATGCAAGAAACTTTAGACAAAGTTTACAACGCGCCCTCCTTGAGCCATTTGACATCTCACATAAATCGTAGTGATCCCAAATGTCTTTGTTTCGAGTGTGTTCGATCACTCTCACGACTTCAAGGTTTCCCCCGACGGAAGATTCAGCCGTGTTACTCATGATGAACAAAAAATTACAAAAATAAGATTTGAGAGATATTTAAGTGTTGTGTAATAAGATTTGAGAAATTTGTAATCAACCAAATACATCCCCAACCTATTTATACATGTTTAAGGTGGTAAAATGGTAATTTTTTAAAGAAAAAAAGGTCAAAAACGATCACAAAATCCCCCCCAACGGCTATATTAACGGCTAGTTTTTTAAACCCAGACCGGTTTTTTTCAAACCGGTTTTTTATCCGGTAAAAAAACCGGTTTAAAAAAATCCGATCCGGTTAAAAAAAACCAGTTTTTCCCAAATCCGATTTCGGATATTCGGATTTTTTGTGCACCCCTAATTGACACCACTAAAAGATGTAAGGAATACATTGCCAAAAGCATTAGATTTTAGTTCCATGCCACTTTTGTCTGTAGTGCTCTCTATCTATGCAAAATGTGGTGGGTCTATTTATTCAGGTTTTCTTCGAGACGATCAATGGCAGCCCCAAGACCACTCTTTGCTTCTCCCATTTCTCTCGAATCTTTAGCAGCCGTGTTCTCTTCGTTCGCTTTCTCTACAAGCTTCAAGTGGATCCAACCTGTCACAAAATGCAAATCCTATATTACATGTCCAGCACGAACAATATATCACAAAATGCAATTGGATTCCTTTACTGTCACCTTTAAAGGTTTTTATGGTAACATTGGGTCGTGATTGAATGAACAACTGGTTACACAGCAGTTACATAACGGCCTATTGAAGACCATTTCACTGTTAATTCAAGAAAATATCAATGTGAAATTACAACGTGCAAATAGATTACCAAGAGGAAAACATAAAGCTGCTCCAAGGACTGAACCTAGCACCACGTTCCTTGCACGCCATTGAAGAGACCCAGGCACTACAGATATCAACAAACAAAGAAAAAGGAAGAAGATAAATACAGATGAGAATCATATATTATCCTTGTTCTGTTTCCAAGGCTCCAATTTCAACTGTGAAAGAAGTTAATGATAGAGGTAAAATATACTGGAACTCATAAGAAAATGATTGCATTTAGTAAGGCTAGAATTATTACTAATTAGACCAAAGGTTGCAGCAGTTGCAGAACCAGCACCAACAACATTGAATACATCATGGACACCCCGTTTCTCAGCCAACAAATTTTGTAAACCATAGAATCCAGCAGTGAACATTCCAAGTCGAACTCCACCTACAATTGAGCCACGAGTGACTCGGATAAACCTTTTTTCCATCGCATCCCGCATCAACCGATACTGCTCTCGTTTATCTGGAGTGCTGCCAAGCTTCAACATTACTTCTGCATCTTTGCTCTACCAAAGAATTCCCAAATTTCAATAAAAAAACATTGTAGAATAAGAATAAAAACATAAGCAGTTTTGAAGGAAGAAAGGACACTCACATGATTGCAACTAAAGGAAACAACTGTCAGGATTGTAAACACACCCATAACATACAAATTATATCACATTCAAACATTCTTTCAACTTCCTATGAATCAAATTGAAGATATTTCTATACCAAAAAATGAACAATCACATGATTGCAAAAAAAAATTGCAGGACTGTAAAGATCTCCATTATATATAAATTATATCATGCATAGGTACACACACATACATGTATACAAATTATATCATACAAAGGTACACAAACATACATGTATACAAATTATATCAAATTCATACATTCTTGAACCTCCCTATGCATCAAATTGAAAGCCTTTCTTTTATGCAAACAAAAAACTTACAACTGAAGCAGCAGCTTCCTTACTACCTCCATATAACATGCCTGCAAACACTCCAATGACAGTGGCTGTGCCCCAGTTTACAGTTCCACCTAATCTTTCTGTTCTCTGGTTTAGAAACGCAGCTGTTAGCATATATCATTCTGAGCCATAATATTAACTAACTTCTCCAAAACAAGAAACAATTGAATATAAAACCAATTCATTCCAATAAGTCAAATAACCAAAGGGACTTTCATCGTTTTTAAAACTGAAAGGTATCTGTTCATTGATGGATCAAAGTCTTAGTTATAAATCAAGAGTATATCATATATACAATCTGAAAAAAGAATACAAATTGGAAAAAAATGAATTGAAAGAAAAAATGAATTGGCAGCAGGATTTGGTTCTAATAGAGGGGCAGCCAGTACAGAACAACGACACTGCCGGCAACGAAAACACACCAACAGCAGCCTCTAGGGCCAGCGAAAACACTACCAGCCTGGCCGTGGTCTTAATCGGCCGGCAACATCGCTAAGGAAGGTTGGCAGTACACGATGGAGGCTCCTCACAGCGAAACCAAAGCTGCCCAGCCGTGGACCAGGCCGGTTAAGCCTTCCCCGACGACAACCCGGCCTCAACATGGCCACCAACGGCATACAAATTATTTCATACATGTATACAAATATATCATACATAGGAACACACACATACATTTATACAAATTATAACATACATAGCTACACAAACATACATGTATACAAATTATATCAAATTTATACTCTTGAAACTCCCTATGCATCAAATTGAAAGCATTTTTTAATGCAAAAAAAAAACTTACAACTGAAGCAGCAGCTTCCTTACTACCTCCATGTAACATGCCTGCAAACACTCCAATGACACTGGCTGTGCCACAGTTTACAGTTCCAGCTAATCTTTCTGTTCTCTGGTTTAGAAACACAGATGTTAGCATATGTCATTCTGAGCCATAATATTAACTAACTTCTCCAAAACAAGAATCAATCGAATATCAAACCAATTCATGCCAATAAGTCAAATAACCAAAGGGGCTTTCATCGTTTTTAAAACTGAAAGGTATATGCTCGTTGAATTGTATTGAAATTAACTTGATTGGATCAAAGTCTTAATTATAAATCAAGAGTATATCATATATACAATCTGAAAAAAGAATACAAATTGGAAAAAATGAATTGAAAGAAAAAATGAATTGGCAGCGGGATTTGGTTCGAATATAGTGGCTGCCAGTACAGAACGACGACACTGCCGGCGACCACACGACCAGCCTTGCCGTGGCCTTAAACGGCCGGCAACATCGCTAAGGAAGGTTGGCAGTACACGGCAGAGGCTCCTCACAGCGAAACCAAAGCTGCCCAGCCGCGGACCAGGCCGGTTAAGCCTTCCCCGAAGACAACCCGGCCTCTCCGTTGCCACCAACGACCGAAACGAACCACGGCGGCGGCGAACCGAACCAAACTCACGGTTTCTTTCGAAACAGCCACGCTCACGACGACGACGGAATAAAGATGGTGACGAAAAGCTTAAGGAGAGACGACCGGTACCTTACCTTTTGCAACGGGCGGCGGCGGCGATGGAAGGAGAGGGCAGCGGCGTGAGGCTAAACAAACAAAGAAGAAAGAAAAGGAACAGTGGGAGGCTCCGTTCGTGATATAGCAGGGTTCAGAATTCAATTCAAAACAAAATTGACCTAATTGCATGATAATTCTCATACTTTATATGTTTTACGAAATGGGCTTCAATCTCACCAAAACTGAATTAGGATTTAGGGAAAATCCCCAAATTCTAGGGTTTTAATTGGGAAAAATTAGGGTGTTACAAGGTGTTTGCTCCAATTACCTAAATTTTATGTTAATAGAATGGTCGGTACTGGATTTACCAAACGATTAAATGTTATTTTGCCCTCCAAAGTGTATCTGGTTATCATTTTGGTACCTAATTTCAAAAACACTTTTGGTTTTTTATTTGTAATTTTTAAATCTGTCTTTCTTTCTAGTTTTATGTATTTTTAAAAAAAAAAATTTGTAAAAATTTATGATATTTCTAAATACTTTTTGGTACTTTCTTAACTTTTCCCTATTTTTTATTTTTAAGATTTAATTTTATATTTTATATTTTTTTAATTTAGTATACTGGAACATATCATGTGTTTTAACATAATTTTTAGATGGACTAATGTGATAATTTTTAGATGGACTAATGTGATAGGTGATTTAAAACTTTAGGTATTAAATTATATATAAAAAACTTAAAGTATGAAAAGAATAATTGGGTATAATTTTAGTGATCAAATAACATTTAACCCTTTACTAAATATTTTTTTATATTTTTCACTATATCTTTAATTTGTGTGATAGTATATTTTTGAAGGAATAATATTTTTGAAGGAAGAAATGACACTCACATGATTGCAACTAAAGGAAACAACTGTTAGGATTGTAAACACACCCATAACATACAAGTTATATCACATTCAAAAATTATTTCAACTTCCTATGAATCAAATTGAAGATATTTCTATACCAAAAAAATGAACAATTACATGTTTATTGCAACAACAAAAAAACAATTGCAGGACTGTAAAGATCTCCATTGTATATAAATTATATCATGCATAGGTACAAACACATACATGTATACAAATTATATCATACATAGGTACACAAACATAGATGTATACAAATTATATCAAATTCATACATTCTTGCAACTCCCTATGCATCAAATTGAAAGCCTTTTTTAATGCAAACAAAAAACTTACAACTGAAGCAGCAGCTTCCTTACTACCTCCATATTACATGCCTGCAAACACTGCAATGACAGTGGCTGTGCCCCAGTTTACAGTTCCAGCTAATCTTTCTGTTCTCTGGTTTAGAAACACAGATGTTAGCTATATCATTCTGAACAATAATATTAACGAACTTCTCCAAAACAAGAATCAATCGAATATCAAACCAATTCATGCCAATAAGTCAAATAACCAAAGGGGCTTTCATCGTTTTTAAAACTGAAAGGTATCTGCTCATTGAATCGTATTGAAATTAACTAGATTGGATCAAAGTCTTAGTTCTAAATCAAGAGTATATCATATATACAATCTGAAAAAAAAAGAATACAAATTGGGGAAAATGAATTGAAAGAAAAGACTTTACTTTGGGTGGGTTTCTTCGTGTTTTTCAGAAGCTTCCATTAATCAAATTTGGGTATCGCAAGATAGAAGGAGCTGCTGATTGATGGAAACGATTTTGTCACAGTTCGATTTCTTTAAGCGGCGGTGCCACCCCAGTAGATGACAAGGTGTTTGCTCAAATTACCTAAATTTTATGTTATTAGAACGGGTCGGTTCTGGATTTACCAAAGGGTTAAATTTTATTTTACCCTCCAAAGTGTATCTTATTATCATTTTGGTACCTAATTTCAAAAACACTTTTGGTTTTTTTATTTATGATTTTAAATTTGTCTTTCTTTTTTAAAAAATAAAATTTGTAATTTTTTTTTGATATTTCTAAATATTTTTTTTTTGATATATTCTTAACTTTTCCCTAATTTTTTAGTTTTAAGATTTAATTTTAGATTTTTCTTTTTCTTAATTTAGTATACTGAAATATATAATGTGTTTTTAACATATTTTTTAGATGGACTAATGTGATAGGTGATTTATAATTTTAGGTATTAGATTATATAAAAAAATCTTCAAGTTTCTAAAGAATAATTGGGTATAATTTTTGTGATCAAATAACATTTAATCCTTTACTATAATATTTTTTTATTTTTCACTTTATCTTTAATTTGTGACATTATATTTTATTTTACTCTCTTCAAACTATAAACTATATGATTAAAGGTCAAATTTTTTTAAGACTATACATGTAAGAAACAAAAAATCATTACACTTTTTATAACTGTGAGATCAACAATTAATAAAAATCAGATAAATAATTGCATATATTTGGGCCAAACGACCTGCCATAGTTGGAAAGAGAAATAGATTATCATATGCGCAATACATATAATATTTCCTAAACCAACATAATTGGTTTGTAATGTGAACAAAGCTAACACGTCATTAAATGCAACAAATATCACTTTTTGGCATCCATAATCGAAGAAGCCGATCATAAAACGAGCAAGTAGCCACAGTAGTACTCTTGGTTTCGCCGCCCGGTAATATTTTCGCTCTCTGCCAATCTGCCCCATACGCAAGTGAGCCATGCTGACTGTAAGCTTCGACGACTTCCGGTTTCTTGTCTCCGATCTTGACGATTGCGAATCCATTGTGCATACAAGCCGCTAAGATCATGCCTGAAACAAAAGGATGGTGCTTGATTCTCCAAACTCCTCCACCAAGACAAACTGAAGCTTCATTCACTGGTCTTGAGATAGATCTTAGATCCCATACCCTCAAGTACTCATCGTAGCTACCCGTAAGTATGGTGTTCGGGTCGTTGGGGCTCTTGGCAATGCAACAAACTCCCATCTTATGGACCTTGGAGTTCTGGAAAACCCTATCGGACGGACTATCCCTTATATCCCAACAACTGAATTTGCAGTCATCCGATCCCGTATATACTAATTGTGGCTGATGAATGTCGAAGCAAGTTGTCCAAAGCTCAAAGTCATGCGCCTTCCACTCTTGTAACTTCTCTATTCCAGACTCTGCAATGGTTATTATCGAAACAGAACCATCAGAAAGTCCAACTGAAATAGACGTGGCCGATGGGTTCCAATCAAGGAAAAGGCACATGGATGAGCTGATTCTTTCACCGCTGACTTCATTAAGAAAACCTCCTGCATCAGAGATAAATAAATCCAAGGATTTTTTTCTAACAATGTCAACATAATGATTTAGAGCGAAGAACTCGAGGGAGAACAAAACATACTAAAAATCTTTTGGAACAGTCCTAAAATTTTCGATTGAATTAACGATATCAAATGGAAGAAGTACAAACTTAGAATGACAATCCAACATAATGCTGAAATAAACTATTTACCTCTAGCAGCATTTACACATGCTCACATGACATATCATAGAAATTATTGGATCAAAGGGGTAATACTGTAGTTTTCATGGCCATTATTAACTCAGAAAACTGTGATAGTCAGATACCTAAAGCATCATTTGATTGGGGTAAAATTCAGTTAAACCATGGAAAAATTCTAGCATTTTGATAGAGGTTTTACTAGACGCATAGCACAACTTTTGAAACACTTTTCCACTACCCATGTAAGTGTAAAGGAGTTACAGAAAATATATGACAAACAGAAACTGAACACCAGTGTTAGCATGCTTTCGCACTAATTTAAATTAGAAAAAAAATATTAGCATATGCTCTAGTGATATTTTATGTAGAAAGAAATTAAAATAGAAGTTTTTATGATTTATATTATTCTCGACTCTTCATTTTTCTAGAAGTACTCATGCCTGACACTCCTAATCAACACATAATCAGACATGAAAACGGGATATTACCTTCTAAAGATCCTCAAATGCATGAAATAACCTAGACAAAGATCAACATACTTGTGCTATACGCATACTCATATCTGACACACACTTATCTGCATACCATATCATATATTAAGTTTGTATACTTGCAATAACTAGCTCCAGGGTAAAAATTAATTCATTAATTCAATCAAAGTACCTTGTATATTTTCCTCATTTGTGGGATAATTAATCCTACCCTACAATCCTACAATCAGGACGAAAATAGATTATTCATAGAAAATACAAAGAAAATATTTAAAATATATGAGAGTTTGAACTTTCCAGAGGGCGACCACCCCCATCACCCTTCTGTCCATCACGGCCTACAATTACTTCCTTGATATTGATTACCATGTATTAAACAACATGAACACATGAATACTACAACATGACAACATGGAATTCCAAGCACAGCAAAGTGAGTTTTAAAATTAAGAATTACTCACAGTGACAAAAACAAGACTAAGAAAAATCCATACAATGCTACATAATTTGAAACATACCTCTGGTTTTCTCTTCGTTAGAGGAACCCTCAAAACTATAGATTCTCAAGTACCCATCAGCATCAGCTTGAGCAAGGAGAGGCCCGGCGTTACTTCCAATTGTGCTCCACTTAATATCAAAAATCCCAGCAGTATCCACGCGATGAAACAACTCGAGATTACCCTTTTCGGCATTGACATCGAATAACGAAATACTGCCAGCTCGGGTTGGTTGCTCACCTTCTTGTAGGGTGTACGTTGAAGCCGCCAACACATTTTGGTAACCTTCGTGGGGGCAAAACTCAACGGCATCAGCATTGCCTTGTAAATAGCAATGAGCCACGTCCATTGCTCAGCTGGGCATTTCATCAAGCAAGTTATAAGCATAGGATTTAAATTTGAAACAAAAAAGTAGACAAGAAAATGTTGGCATATTTTTCGAGGGAAATTGAGAAATTTAAAAGAATGAGAAAACTACCTTCGTTGATTATTTGCTTCGTTAGGAATTTTAGAAATTGGAAAGTTCTGTGACCGTCTCAACCAAATTAGTAGGTCAAACCTAGCGGCAAGTATGTATATATAATGGGTAAAGCACACAAATTGTATTCCGATCATGTTACTTTTTTTAATTTTCGACTATTAAAAGTTATAAAATGAACATTTAATTATAGAATGTTATTTTGTTGAGTCGGCTACTATTAAAAGTTACAGAATAATTATTCAATTATTCATATGTTTTAAATTTATTATTTTTTATTAAAATATTAGTGATCATATGAGCTGTACATTAACTGACTATTTTCTACAACTCCTTTACACTTTATTTACATAGGGTAGTGGAAAAGTGGGGATTGTCTCAGGAAAGGCGGGTTAATATACAGTTAATATACGGTATTACTGGATATATTAAAAGATATTTAATAAATTCGGTTTAGCGCTACCTATTATGTTGACAGACTAATAATGTTTTAGGTAGAAAACATGAAAAACTATTAAAAAAATGGTAATCGGTAAACTTTGGTTATCGGAAAGTATCTATCATTTTTATAAAAGTGTCTATACTTTCAACATATCAGGTAAATTTTATCGGTTTTGTCATAATGAAACTGGTTTTGTCATATTTTTACCTGTTATATTGTAAAGTATTTATCATTTTTATAAAAGTGTTCATACTTTTTTCACTGTGGAAAACATTAATTTAAGGTTATCTTTTGTGTGAGTTTTAAGATATTAATTTAGTAATTATAGGTGTCTAATGATTTATTTTTTACGTTACGGTATATATTATTATTAAATTAAAAACAATAAAAATATATATTACATATTTATTATTATCTTTGGTTAATATTGTTAAATTTAAATACTAAATAATATTTATAAAATATCAAAACAATCAAATAATTTTTTGTGTAAATGAAATTATTAAATTAATATTGTAGGTGGAAAACATGAAACACTGTTAAAAAAATTGAAACATAAATTACACAACTTTTTTAAAAAATATCGATCCTTTTTATAAAAAGTATAGACACTTTCAATATAATAGGTAAAAATATGATGTAATAGGTAGCACTTATATAATGTAATAGGTAGCGTTTATATAATGTAATAGGTAGTGCTTATATTGTAAAGTATATATCCTTTTTATAAAAGTGTCCATACTTTTTTCACTGTGGAAAACATTAATTTAAGGTTATCTTTTAAGTGAGTTTTAAGATATTAATTTAGTAATTATAGGCGTCTAATAATTTATTTTTTATGTTGCGGTATATATTATTATTAAATTAAAAACAATAAACATATATATTACATATTTATTATTATCTTTGGTTAATATTGTTAAATTTAAATTCTAAATAATATTTTATAAAATATCAAAACAATCAAATAATTTTTTGTGTAAATGAAATTATTAAATTAATATTGTAGGTGGAAAACATGAAACATTATTAAAAAAATTGAAACATAAATTACATAACTTTAAAAAAAGTATCGATCATTTTTATAAAAAGTATGGACACTTTCAATATAATAGGTAAAAATATGATGTAATAGGTAACGCTTATATAATGTAATAGGTAGCGTTTATATAATGTAATAGGTAGTGCTTATATTGTAAAGTATCTATCCTTTTTATAAAAGTGTCCATACTTTTTTCACTGTGGAAAACATTAATTTAAGGTTATCTTTTGAGTGAGTTTTAAGATATTAATTTAGTAATTATAGGCGTCTAATGATTTATTTTTTACGTTACAGTATATATTATTATTAAATTAAAAAAAATAAACATATATATTACATATTTATTATTATCTTTGGTTAATATTGTTAAATTTAAATTTTAAATAACATTTTATAAAATATCAAAACAATCAAATAATTTTTTTTGTAAATGAAATTATTAAATTAATATTGTAGGTGGAATATAATACTTTTTTTACTGTGGAAAACATTAATTTAAGGTTATCTTTTGAGTGGGTTTTAATATATTAATTTAGTAATTATAGGCGTCTAATGATTTATTTTTTACATTGCGGTATATATTATTATTAAATTAAAAACAATAAACATATATATTACATATTTATTATTATCTTTGGTTAATATTGTTAAATTTAAATTCTAAATAATATTTTATAAAATATCAAAACAATCAAATGATTTTTTGTGTAAATGAAATTATTAAATTAATATTGTAGGTGGAAAACATGAAACACTATTAAAAAATTTGAAACATAAATTACATAACTTTAAAAAAAGTATCGATCCTTTTTATAAAAAGTATGGACACTTTCAATATAATAGGTAAAAATATGATGTAATAGGTGGCGCTTATATAATGTAATAGGTAGCGTTTATATAATGTAATAAGTAGTGCTTATATTGTAAAGTATCTATCCTTTTTATAAAAGTGTCCAAACTTTTTTCACTGTGAAAAACATTAATTTAAGATTATCTTTTGAGTGAGTTTTAAGATATTAATTTAGTAATTATAGGCGTCTAATGATTTATTTTTTACGTTACGGTATAGATTATTATTAAATTAAAAAAAATAAACATATATATTACATATTTATTATTATCTTTGGTTAATATTATTAAATTTAAATTCTAAATAATATTTTATAAAATATCAAAACAATCAAATAATTTTTGTGTAAATGAAATTATTAAATTAATATTGTAGGTGGAATATAATACTTTTTTCACTGTGGAAAATATTAATTTAAGGTTATCTTTTGAGTGAGTTTTAAGATATTAATTTAGTAATTATAGGCGTCTAATGATTTATTTTTTACGTTGCGGTATATATTATTATTAAATTAAAAACAATAAACATATATATTACATATTTATTATTATCTTTGGTTAATATTGTTAAATTTAAATTCTAAATAATATTTTATAAAATATCAAAACAATCAAATAATTTTTTGTGTAAATGAAATTATTAAATTAATATTGTAGGTGGAAAACATGAAACACTATTAAAAAAATTGAAACATAAATTACATAACTTTAAAAAAAGTATCGATCCTTTTTATAAAAAGTATGGATACTTTCAATATAATAGGTAAAAATATGATGTAATAGGTAGCGCTTATATAATGTAATATGTAGCGTTTATATAATGTAATAGGTAGTGCTTATATTGTAAAGTATCTATCATTTTGTTAAACTATGTTTCAATATAACAATTTAAGGCAAAATGGTTTTTGGACTTGAATTGAATTTACAAAATGGTTTTTGGACTTGAATTGAATTTACAAAATGTTTTTAGACTTAATTGAATTTATTCAAAATTTACAAAAATAATTCAAAGTTCTTTTAATTTAAAATTGAGCACAAAAATGTTTTTATGAATAGTAATTTACTATTTGAACAGTAAATTACTATTTGAACTGTTCATCAGCCCAACGGTCATAATATTTGAATATTATGAAGGGGTATCGATTCCCTATGAAGGGGTACCGATTCCTCCCATTCTGGGCAACCTTTTTGAGTAGAAAAATCATTCCCAAACGGCTCCAAAACATCCCCAACGGCTAGATATGACTTCAAACACATTCCAAGCTATAAATACAAGCTAAGGACACTTGAAGAAGTAAGAGAACAACTATCCAATCAATCAAACACAAGAGAATAGTTTTTCAATCTTATTTCATCTTTCTCTTGTAAATATTTTGTTCTTGTGAGCTCAATCTTGTAAACACCTACCTTAGAGAGGTTTTCTTGTTTACACTTATTATCCTTTTGTAAAGGGGAAAAGTTCTAGCTTAGCCCGTGTAAAAGCTAGGGAAAGGTTCTAGTTTAGCCCGGAAAAACTAGGGAGTTGTAAGGTTATCTCTTTGTCCTCAAAAGAAAGAACAAATTAGTGAATTTGTTGGAAAATCCTTGGTGAGGAGCTAAGGTAGTGGATGTAGACTTTGGTTGATAAAGTCGAACCACTCTAAATCGCTGTGCAATTTTCTATCTTTCAATCTCCTTACTCCTTAAACACAAAACCATTCCGACCCCTCTTTGCAAACCGTTTCGGTTGTCGATTCGAGCTTCCGAAAATCCTAACACCTTTTTATAAAAGTGTCCATACTTTTTTCACTGTGGAAAACATTAATTTAAGGTTATCTTTTGAGTGAGTTTTAAGATATTAATTTAGTAATTATAGGCGTCTAATGATTTATTTTTTACGTTACGGTATATATTATTATTAAATTAAAACAAATAAACATATATATTACATATTTATTGTTATCTTTGGTTAATATTGTTAAATTTAAATTCTAAATAACATTTTATAAAATATCAAAACAATCAAATAATTTTTGTGTAAATGAAATTATTAAATTAATATTGTAGGTGGAATATAATATTTTTTTCACTGTGGAAAACATTAATTTAAGGTTATCTTTTGAGTGAGTTTTAAGATATTAATTTAGTAATTATAGGCTTCTAATGATTTATTTTTTACGTTGCGGTATATATTATTATTAAATTAAAAACAATAAACATATATATTACATATTTATTATTATCTTTGGTTAATATTGTTAAATTTAAATTCTAAATAATATTTTATAAAATATCAAAACAATTAAATATTTTTTTTGTGTAAATGAAATTATTAAATTAATATTGTAGGTGAAAAACATGAAACACTATTAAAAAAATTGAAACATAAATTACATAACTTTAAAAAAAATATCGATCCTTTTTATAAAAAATATAGACACTTTCAATATAATAGGTAAAAATATGATGTAATAGGTAGCGCTTATATAATGTAATAGGTAGCGTTTATATAATGTAATAAGTAGTGCTTATATTGTAAAGTATCTATCCTTTTTATAAAAGTGTCCATACTTTTTTCACTGTGAAAAAATTAATTTAAGGTTATCTTTTGAGTGAGTTTTAAGATATTAATTTAGTAATTATAGGCGTCTAATTATTTATTTTTTACGTTACGATATATATTATTATTAAATTAAAAAAATAAACATATATATTACATATTTATTATTATCTTTGGTTAATAT